TAGCTCTATAAATAGGTTAACATTTACTTTTTTTAGATTTTCAGATTTGACTTTCTACTGGTCATTTTTTCAAAGAAAATGAAATATTTAAAACTTCATCTGATAGGTTTGGCACCTATAGCTCAAGTGGCTAATGCGCCAAGAAGTTCCTCTGATAATGCTACCACCATAGTTTTGTTTTTATCCCTCATCTCTTTTTTGAACTATAAAACTAAAGCAATTTCTGTAAAGGTACAAATTGATTAAGTTAGTATAGAATTAAAATTTATTAATTTATCATACTATAAGTGAGGTCATGTCCCCTGTTAATATACTGATTTTTAAATTTACTGTTAACTCATATATTTCTCACATAGGTATTTAGACAGTGTTACTATAATAAATCAGAAAGCATTTACTGAATTGCAGTAAACGATTGTGCCATTTTATTCCAGTTTGTTTTTTCATGAAATTCTACATTGGGTCATCATTCTGAAAACGTTTGCAGATTGTAGCTCTTGAAAATCTGTGAGTCTATGCATATTATAAGCTATTATAGAGGACGTCAAAAATACAAAATCACAGGATTCTGTGATTACAGGATTCAATTCTCTTTCTGACCACTTGGGAGTAGCAACAGAAAGCTCAAATCACAGGATTCTATATTTTTATGTCTAAGAAAGGGGCCCTTCCCTGTCCCCAAAATATGAGTTTATTTGTTGGTCTCCCTGGTTGGTTTGTTTGTTTCTTATGTAGGGCACGTGAAGCACTCAGGCAGTGCCTCCCTGACCAGCTGAAGGACACAACCTTTGCCCAGGTGCTAAAAGATGACACCACCACAAAGCGCTGGCTTGCACAACTGGTGAAGAACCTGCAAGAGGGTCAGGTCACTGATCCCCGGGGTATCCCTCTGCCCCCTCAGTGATCCTCCCCTACCCCTCCCACCACTCCCCTATGTTGGGGAAGAGAGGGGGTAACCTATGAAGATAACAGCTCAGGTTTTATCATCGATGGAATAGACAACCTCAATGAACTGCACTGGAGAAAGGGGGCAAGATACCCCTGCTGTGAGGTGTATGAGCTGCCATCTTAGGCTGCCTTGAGGACCTGGGCTTCCTCTGCTCCTCCCAGGAAATGGGCTCCTGTCATAGTAGTCTGCCACCACAGCCCCAGGAGGGTGTCAACACCAGCAAATGCTGTATTTACAGTGTGCCCAAGATGACCCTTCTTCCCCATCTCTACCTAGCCACTGGCAGAAAGGGGAGACCGTGGTGATAGCAGCAGCATTCTAGGCATGATGAACGCCTGGGACCAAGCCTTGTGGCATTTTTTATTTTGCCTTCCTGGAAGACTCAAAATGTGTCTCTTCATTCTCTCTCTCAATATTTGTTTACTTTGCTGTTTGGTTTTTACTCTCAGAGAGAGGTGTGTTTAGTGGGCACAAGCTGTAATATTCAGCAAAACGTTGTCAATTGGCACTGTTTACAAGTCTTTTAGCTGCATAAGCTCAATAAAAGTTGGTCTGGGCATTATAGTCCCTCTGGCAGGCCAATAGCTGTATTGAGCTGTTGGGAGGAATGGGAGACGGGAAAGATGTAAAGCCAAAGGACAACCACCGCCTGTTTCCCTTCTCTTTTCCCATTCTACTCCCAGTCCTAAATGCCACAAAGACCTTAACCTTGTTTCTGGCTTTAGCTGCTAGCTTTTTCGAATCTCAGTACTTTTTCTTTTTTAATTCCCTTCTATTAAACTTAAAATAGATGTCTTAATTCATCAAGCTATCCTTGGTGAGGGTATTGAGGGTTGAGGGGCAATAGTGGACTTCACTTTCAGTTTGAATCTTCAAAGAAACCTTCTGGATGACTTTTCAAGGGGGTGCCTGGGATTAAAGTAATAGGCTACTTGATCCTATTCTTTTTTTAGTGTGCAGTTCAGCAGCTCCATCTGTCTTCATGATTGTACTTGAAGCAGTATTGGCTGAATGAGTCAACTTTATTCAGATGTAAGATGGAGGATGGACTGTGCTCACTCAGAGCTTTTTTTTTTACATTTTCTTTTGGTCTATAAGAATTATTTCAGGGTTGTCAGTAAAATATTTTTCACTTGTTCACATTGTGTCAGAGAATTCTCCTTCTCTGGAGCTTTAGATGGCTCTGTTCACAATCCACAGGCTTGAATCTGTAACCTAGTATAGACTACCTTGCTTTCCCCCAATCCTTCCCCTTGCTAGCACCTGTTCCTTCTCTCTCATCCCCATCTCCAAAGAGGGGACTATAATCCAACTCTAGAGAGGAACTGAGTCTTTTCTGTCTACACCTCACATGATTGAGATGTATCTGAACAATTTTGGGAGGGTCTAGAAGTGATAGGCTCAGAGAAACCTTTGCAAAGGCAGTTTTGCCAACACAAGGGCTCTTTCAAGGCGACTTTCACAAAGAGAGCCGGCCTTGTTAGTTGGCTTCTGTCTCTTTAGAGCCATGAAAGTAGTAATTAAGTAGCTTAGATGTAGAAAAGATAGAATAAGCACTTATTCCCCTGCCTTCCAAGATAAAAGGAACCAGGCCAGATTCTCAGTAATCTCAAGCCTGAAGAGGAGAGAGGTCTTTGAGAAAGCAGAGAATAGCATGGACTGGATGGATGTCTTGACTCCCTTCAGCGCATAGTTTTTTATCTGGAGAGTCCAGCTAGGGTAACCCTAATTTTTGATAACCACCTTCCTGCTGAGCCAAAGTTTTCTCATTCCCCCTCCATTGGGGAAGCAGCCGAGGCTCAAGACTTTGTTCCCTGGGAAATTCTTTTCTTTACATCTTTCAGTGCATTGGCCATGTTACTGGGCCAATAGTGTCTTAATTCTCCCATCTATTCTCAGCTGGCCTCGGAACCCACATAAGAGCTGGTGGGGAGGGATGGAATGGGTATCATTCCTTGTGGTTGGTCCTGATGTGTATATTACATAGAGACCTCTCCCCTTATTTTGTGTTTTCCATTCTTCTCCCTCAATAGGATTGAAATAAAATATACTTCTGTTTTTGTAAAAATAATTTTCCTTTAAACTGGAGATTTATTCTATCAATATAAGGATAACTAGGCACTTGGGTCAAGTGATTCTTGTCATACCTGCCTCTACATATACCTACATACACACACTGTCCACCTATATACACACACTGCCCTGCCAAAATGATGGTTGTGGTGCCTTTTTTAATTTAATTTAATTTTTTTTTGAGACTTCAACTGGAGTACCAAAGCTGTTTTGGGAGGCTGGGGTAGTGCCCTTTGATAAAGTATCTTTTACTTATACAGAACCTCACTCCTGGCTATAGTGGTCAGACCTTGGTTCCAGTGTGGGAGAAACTTCCATCAGTGAAGAGGTTATGCTTCAGACATTTTATCATGGACTTTTAATTTTCATATCTTCTGGAGTTCAAGGCTTAAAGCACATATTAAGAGTTGTTTCAGCTCAGTGGCATAGCTCAGCTTAGGGTGCTGGCCACATATACCGGGGCTGACAAGTTCAAACCTAGCCTGGGCCTGCTAAAACAACACTGACATCTACAACAACAAAAAAAAGCCAGGCGTTGTAGTCTGAGGCAAAAGAATCACTTAAACCCAAGAGTTGGAGGTTATTGTGAGCTGTGATACTATGGCACTCTACCAAGGGTAACATAGTGAAACTCTGTCTCCAAATAAAAAAGTTGTTTCCATGCCTGGCTGTCAGTGAGACCCAGCCAACCCCTGCTTCCAGCTGTTTTTTCAATGGCTTTAGAGGGCCTATGATTGTTTCAGTGATGGGACAGGGCAAGGAGAGGCCTTGATAGCCTTTAGAGCTCACCTTCTTCACATAAGATTCCCTTGCTCACTATTCCTGCTAGGAAAAAGGTGATGTACAAAGTTGTTTCCATCAAAAACCCAAGCAAAGAGTTTGGAATAGGAAACCGTAAAATAAAATGAAATTTCTTTCCTGATACATCATGGGATTTAATTTAGCAGATATAACAAAAATTTGAATAATACAAGTAGTGAACCTAGATTAATTGACTTAGATAGGACACTACACTTGTAACTGTGTACATATTCTTTTTAAATGAACTTGAAGCATTTCCCAGAATTGATCATAGGTGGACCATCCAGCAAGCCTCAAAGAAATTACGAGGCCGGGCGTGGGTGGATTGCTTGAGCTCAGGAGTTGGAGACCACCCTGAGCAAAAATGAGACCCTATCTCTACTAAAAATAGAAAAACTAGCCAGGCATAATCCCAACTGCTCAGGAAGCTGAGGCAAAAGGATTCCTCTATTCCAAGGGAGTTTGAGGTTGCTGTGAACTACAATGCCACGGCATTCTACTGAGGGGAACAGAGTGAGACTGTCTAAAAAATAAAAATAGAATATTCGCTCAGTGCCTGTAGCTCAGTGAGTAGGGCTTCAGCCACATACACCAAGGCTGGCAGGTTTGAGCCAGCCCAGGCCTCCTAAATAACAATGACAACTGCAACAAGAAAATAGCTGGGGCTCAGTGCCTGTGGCTCAAGTGGCTAAGGCGCCAGCCACATACACCTAAGGTGGCGGGTTCAAATCCAGCC